GTTTTATGTCAGACACTTGTAGGGTTTAGAATATTGCCCATACAAAGCTAATACTGTAACAATATTTAGACTTGGAGTTCAGTTACTTGGGAACGCTGTCTATAGAACTTGCCATTGTTACAAACACTTTTGTGGGTTTTATTTGTACTGCATGGTCTAATAATAAAATTTGGAATTGAAAGATAAATAATAGATCAAAGTATAAACACAGTTGGGCTTGTACGAACATCCGTCCGTCTGTCAGTAGCATTTCCGTGTTATTTCCATAACATCCCTAGTCATTCAAATACAAAATGAACATTAAATTATTTTACACAGTGAAACATTCGCCAAATGTTTGATAAAAGTGCCAGATCATTGCATTTGTTTTATTGGAACGTACGATATTATCTCCTTGTATCTCAGCTCCATACATCTTTATAATTATGTTTGGATTAACGTAGAAATCATATGTCGATTTTTCAGCTTTACTGGGGGAGAAAAACTTCAAGTTCTCATTCGTGCATTATTAAATGCACAAACGGAAACCTGGGTAGAACCAGCGACGATCCGTTGACTAGCAACAGAGGTTCCTTATAGAGATATACATTATATTCTGTTTAAATGATTGTCGTGATATTTGTATAACGAATAACACATGAAGACAATGTGAAGAACACATAAGATATTCAAATCGTTTGAAAGTGAAATGATATACACTTTAATTTTGACGCACAATTTGAGGTTTATAAGCAAGAACTCATAATTAAATCTATAACGCTTTTGTGAATATTCATACCATCGTATGATTGTAATTACCATTATAGTTCATATACAGGCTAGATCAAGTTGTTATTTAACCATTCTGTTTCTTTTTTTTTCTTCTTTTTTTTAACCTTTTGTATGATTCGAGTAAATAAATAAGATTGCTGAAAATAATTTTCAGTAGCACGGCTACGCAAACAAGGCATTTAGGGCATATAACAACCAATATTTAGATAAACCATCAAATGTGAATGTTTGTTAACTAAATGTTCATTTATTATTAGTTTCCACAAAAGTGTATCATAAAATATTATTTACAATAGAATCCTCGTATTTTTTTCAGATAAATGCCCTGTAAAACTTTATGATTTTTGAAAGATGAATTTAGAATTTTTATAGAAAGAAAATGATCGCGTAATCAATTATTTTTTGGGGGTTTGGTGTTTTGTCGCACCAACACAGTCATTGTGATATTGCGACTTTCTAGCTTTACTGATGCCCTTGCGTTTATAATTTCAGGCAACCGAACGGAACCACTAACGTTGCTGGACAGCTTCCTCACATGAAACAATTTAATGTTCCTGGCGGAACTCGAACCTATAGAGGTGAAAGTGGCAGTTTTTGGTTTTTTAAATTTATCGGAAACCCCAACCATTCGGCAAAAGGACTTATTTTTTTATGGTTTTTTACAATCGGGTTTTACTTCAATGACCCTTTGATTTTGCTACCCTTTTGAATTTGGGTTTCACAAACTTTAAAATTTTTTTAAATAATTTTAAATTTTTTTGATGTTTATTACTAAAGGCCTTTTTGGGAGGAGTTCGCACGGTGCCTTTGATTGTTCAAGCTTTTTATTTAAACGTACACATTATTTATACATTTGTTCATACTTTAAGTTAATGAATTGTTAATAACTACTTTTCATTCTAAAAATAAAACTCTTTTAAAAGAACCCTTTTAACAGGCAAATACATATACTTGGGGTGGTTTTGTTTAGTTTTTAGAAAATAAAAAACCAAAAAACGGTTTTTATTAAAATTTTTAAATGCTTATGTGTTTGTTGGGAAAATTTTTTGTTAGCTTTTAAAAAAGTAACGTACGTTTAGTTCTTTACAAAACTGCACTGTTTTCACTACAAAAACATGATCATTTTATACATTCATGCACATTATCAAACAGATAACACAAAAAATTTATTACTCAATTTTTATTTGTTTTCTACAGTTCTCTTGACTTCAATACTTGATTAATAATTCAAGAATATATAGAAATTAATACATTAGATATTATCGTAATACAAATTATCAGCCAATAAACTACTGATCAACAAAAAAAATTCGGTGCTAAACATATATCCCTTGAAATGTATATTTTTAAAAATTTTCCCACCTGTAGCAGTATCCTCAATGCATGCAATTTTTCTATCTTTGAAATATATTGGGTAGTTTAAGTATTACTGTAAATGAATACTATTTCGGAAAACACTCGTTTTTCATTTTCATTCGCCCTTGGGCAACACCCTTTTCCAGCCAGAAGGACACCCCTGTAAAGATTTATAAATGCTTTGGGCCCAAGCGGATAAAATCTATGTAAATATATTCCAATTTTGTGTACATTTATGAACACACACAATAGTCAAGGACGTCTCCCGCAAACGTCTCCTTGGAGTCAAAAATAACTGGGGGCTCATGCTTGGCCACAATTGAACCCAACAAATGTCCCACCACATTTTTCAAATGTATTTGAATGGTGGCGTCTTGGTCTGTCTCCTTTGACATTATTTTTATTGCCACTATAATATTTGTATTTAGTACCTTAAATCAAACATAGAATAACATTGTGTTATGAAAATTTAATGACAGTCCTTTTGAAATCAAGAAATTATTTTCATTTAAAACACTTATTTTGGTTTATTTTTAATTTAATTTAAAGCTTACCCCTTCAGAGAATAGCCAAACCGGGGCCCATCCCAATCTCCTTTTGAGGAAATTGATTTAAGAATAGAAATTATATTTTAAAATTTTTTGGGTTTCCCCTTTAAACCAAATGGGGGAACCGGTTTCCCCGAATTGGCCCCGTTTTAATTTAACGAAAATCAACCTTTTCAAACCCATTTTAACTTTTGAACGAGTGAATGAATTTTCCAAATGAGTATTTATTATTTTGAAATTTGGGTTTGAAATAAATTTTTAAAAACAAAAACCCTTTTAATTTCTCATTTTTCCGCAAAAAAATTTGAGAAAAAAAGCTTTGAAAATTAATTGGAATAAATTCACCTCCTTTGGGGCCCCCAAACGTGGAAAAGACACAAATTTAGTTTTTGACCATATAAACCCCAAAAAGGAAAAACTTGAATTTTGAAAATGAAAGTTTAAAGATGATAATGTTTATGTTGTCAAAATGTTCAATCAACTATAGAACCTCAGATGACCGTGCATTTTGAGAAATAAATACAGATGTCCGTGTACCGAGTATTGCGTTGGAGTTGCCCGCCGGTGTCACGAGTATTGCTTTTTAGTGTAACGAGTATTGGTTATCAATATAGAGTAAATGCAAGTAGCAAACACAGAGTATTTCCTACATTTAATTTTAAATCTTATTGTGTATACTTAATTACACTATATGTGCATTGACTGAAAACATATGCGAATAATCCAGATTTTCATTCCTGCTCATGAAAAATCTCAGCAATTTTTTGTGTTTAAAAAAGTTCTCGTTGCTATCGAAGGATCAACCTTTCCAGAATTTGTTAATAATAATTGCATATCTTACTTTAAATAAGTAAAAAATTGCAATCCAAAAGTGCATTAATGCTGCCTCAAGAATGTCAATAGTATAACGGTATTGAGCAAGTCTGTCAATACAATGTATCTAATATCAACCGACTTCCTACTAAGCCAACAATCCATATATAGGTAACTTTCGGTCATTTTGCACCTGCACCCTAGCAACGGCAGACCGTCTGCACGTGAAATTTGTTACGTCATTAAGCAATGAGTTATCGTATGACTACGTGGGTACAGCTAAAAAACGAAATAATGGATTTTGATAAAATTATGATAAAAGGGCAGCAGAGTGCAATGAAAAAGTTATGTTCCTTATAACCTTTTTATCTCATAAAGGTGTGTTAAAAGGCTTTACACCCCCACCCTGTTCCCCCCTTCTGTTTTGGGGTAATTAGCCCTCTAATTCGCCGAGAGGATTTGGGACTTTGGGGGTGGGGGCTAAAATGGTTTCTCAGGTTGATTTAAAAAAAGTACCGTGTATAATCAAAGCCCAAAACCTTTTGACTTTTTAAAAATTTAAAAAATTTTCTGGAATTAAAACAGTTTTGATTTTGGGAAAAAAAACGCAAAAAAAAAATTTTTTGGCAAATTTTTTTGACGTCCCCCAGTTGCCATTTAAAAATTGGTAAGCTAAATTTCCCTTTGGTTTATGGCCCAGCCAAAAATTTTTTACCCCGTTTGAAAGGGATTTAAGCATTTTTTTAGGGTTTTTTAAAACAGTTTTTTAACTTGTAAGAAAATGCTTAATTAATGATCGCAAAAAACTCATCAGAAAAGGGTTTAAAACTATACCGGCATGCTTTGGGCGGCATGCCTCGGGCCCCAAAATTTTAAAATAATGTTCGAATTAAACCCTTTCCCCCGTTAAAAAAACCATTATTAAAGTCATCTAAAAAATGTTTTGTTATCCTTCTTCTTTTCAGAGATGGGTCTCCTTGATCACAGTTTCTTGAGACATGTATTTAAAGATTTTTATCGTCAATTTCGATGGTTCTACCCTGCTCCCGAGCCTGCTTCCGACCCTGCACACACTTTATTTCATATATAGTGTGATTTTCAATCAAATGGGAGCAGCGGATCGTTTAGGGGTAGTTTAATCAATTTTACAAATACCTGTAATATTTTTACGTCTTTAAGAGCTGAGCTACAAAAATACCTCTAGATATATAAAACCCGTTGAGACAAATGAAATAGCCATTAATTTGGAAAATATCGTTGCTGAACTTACCTTCTTACCTCGTTCAAAGTCGCGAAATGGGATGAAAGTCCTCATAATATCGAGCAATATCCGGGGTACGATATACCGCAGTGTTAACGAAGACGTAAAATGTAAATTGTGTTATAGAATTATTTAGCTAAAAGAACATTTTTAAGGGTCGCTAATCTCCTTTGCGAATGCTAAGTCCGATGGCAGATAACACAAAACCGAGTTGGAGGACTCTCATTTGTTCTGTTTCTGTTATTATAAGTTAAGATCATGAAACGTTAAAATAATTCTGTTCTGCAAGTTTTTGTTTTGCAAGTTTCTGTTCTGCAAACCTCTTTAAGGAAAAAAGACACAGCTACAGTGAATAGATGTAAACAGCCTACCTTCTGGAGTTGTTTGGACAGGCGTACTTCCACATTCCTTTTTATTTCTAAGATAGCTTGTTTTTGAGCAGCGCTAAAAGTGCTGACATCATCGGCTATAACATGCATCTGAGATTATAAATAATAAATTATATTAGTTATAATAAGAATTATAGTGATAAAATAATGTGTTTAATATGTTTTTCTGAGTTCCCTAGCTCTTACCTTAGAAAAGTCAGGTTTGTTTTTATAAAAACGTCAACATCTTCTATTTATACAGAACAAATATTTAATATGTTGTTTTCCCCAGATATATGTAGATATGTGTAAAACTGTTTAAATAAACATAATATAACATATCTTTTTAATCTAAATGTTTTTGTTTTGTTTGTTACAAGTAGGAAATGAAATCCATTAGTGTGTTGTTTGTGTTAAACATATTTATTTCAGCGCAGTTGCAAAACAAGTTCTTTCAACTTATATTAATAATTTTTGAGTCTGCGTCTTGGAACCAACCAGTACTGGTGTCATATGAAGAAACATGGTCGTGACATAATTAGGGCCTGAACCCATGATCCAAAGGGTTGAAAGGCACATCTTAACCACTAGGCCAACGCTCCCCTGTTGTCTTGGTGGATACTTGGCTGAACTTGAAATTTCCGTTTATATGTTAGAGGTAAGCAAACTCTAAATAGTTCTAACCAAAATCAATACTGGTAATAGGTCTGTAAAGATGTAATTTACATTTTATATTGTAAATGTGCTAATTCTATAGTTTTATCCATAGGTAAAATGTATCAATATATTGATAATGCGCATAAATGTATTTTAGGCTTCAATCCATATGTAAAAGATTTCTCTCTTATAATTCCAATACAGAATAAAGAAATAAGTGCGAACCTGAGAGAGATATACTATAAAGATTCCCTGGTCTAAAGTTTTGATTCCTTTTAAGGGTATGGAAATGTTTGCTTATCTTGCACTATAATCTGTTTATTTCTTCATTCAAGGAAATAGGGGTGCTTCATTCCAAAGAATCAGACAAAAAAGTTTGTTTAAACTAAACAGATGCTTTGACTTAACACTCGCATTCCATTTATTGAGTAAGTACAATATGACTAAATAAATGGTTTGGAGCCAAATAGCATCGTTAATGTTCATGGTACATTGCGTCACATATCTAACGTGCACATACTTCATATTCCTCTAAAGGGACAGAGTCAAACGCATCCACTATCAGCCTTTTCCGTTTGTCCTCTGATTCGTGGCATTCGCATTCAGCCTGTAATGAAATCGCTACATATGCTTGTCAAAGTAAACAATGGTTTTACATGTATAAGATACAATGGTTATATTGTCAAATTGTCAATCGTCAAATAGCACTCTACAAACAGTATGCTTTTCTTAATGACCTTTATTCATAAAATGTTCAAACATTAATTTGAAAAGGCTTTCTTAACATTTACCTATAAAACAAAAATATTTCTTATTTTATTTCTAATCCATTAGAAGCACGTTCAATCCGTATTTGAAATAATGGAACAAATCGATTGAAATCCTATTTTTGCCATTGTTTTAATCCGAATATCTAGTTTATAATGTTATTCTTACGTATGTTGAAAGTAAATTACATACCTTTTCACTTTTATCACAGGATCTAATGGCATTTTGTTCAGAGGATAATTTCTCGGACGATGTCTTAGTGTCGACAGTAAGGGTAAATATACCTTTCTTCATATCCTCTATATGTCTTCTTGAAACATCGTTACATATCTGTCTGGCACTCTGAATTGAAGAAATATTTTCACAGCAACCATTCCCAGCACTATGTGGTTCTTTATCGGGCTTGCATTAAACAAAAGGGTCAATTGTGTGTTCTTATGTATCTGTATTTAGATGCAAACATTAGTCTTAAGGAAAATATGCAATGACTAGTTTGAGTAATTTTAGTGTTAAAACAAAATAAGTATAAGTATTGACCTGTAACAATCTAAGCATGAATGCTATTTTCTCTTGTTCAGACTCAAGATGAATGTTTTCAAAAGCATCTGTCCATTCATTGTCATACAGCTCGGCGAATTCCTCGGCAAGTTTTGTTGGGCGTTTACTGTCACTTAGATCAGCGATATTTGAGTTATCAACTGTAAGTTTGCTTAACCTGATAAAGATATCGTTACATCATAGAAAAAAATCAACAACATTCATTACTTGCAACACTTAAGTTTTGAATTCAATTTAATGAAAACGAAGACTGTGACATATATTCTCATATTATTAACCAAATTAAAGGTAATTGATTGTCATGTAGATTTTTTAACAAATATTAATTAAAAAATCAAAATTAAAAAAATCAATATCAAACTTATAATTACGCCTGACAAAAACCGATTCGAATCAAATTTAAATACTGTAAATAAATATACATATGATACATACTATATATGTTATACTTTTTTATTTTTCCGAACATTATATTAATGTCAACAAATACATAACTATATATGCTTTACTTTTAGGATATGAATTTTCATTCAGTCCGCCAACATAAATTTAGTTAAATGGTTGAATAATTACAAGAAACATTTTACATGTTTAACCTTTAATAACGTAGGTTAAACAAAATTTCATATCCGGCCATTATCTTTCTACCATTTTCGTCGAGGGATCTTCATCAAGCAATTTACGAACATTTGGCCTTCAAGTTATGAGTCAGCAAATTTTACAACTAAAGGTTTACCTTAAAATTAAATCATCCTTTTGTTCTGTAAGTGACTGGTTGTTTCTATTCAGGACTTGCACTTGTTCTTGAAGAGACTGATTGATAATTTCTGCCTCCTGTAACTTGCTCATTAGATTGTGATTCTCGCATTTGATAGATTTCTGCTGGCTTTTAAGGGAATTTATCTCCTCTTGTAATTCCCTCTTCTCGCTATATATTGGGATTAGAAATAAATATTAAATACGAATACAATTAAAAAATAAGAAATGAAACAAAAACTCGACAATACTTATGCGGAAAATTAGAAACCATTTCTAGGTAAATGTTCAATTCTGCATTAGCCGCGATAGCTAGAATTTGTCATTACGGTCCAAGAATAGACTCAATCTACCGGGCGCGCAACTTTTTTGTCATTTTGGGCGTTCTCTAGGGATTCTGTTTTTCACTATTTTCTTCTTTCTTTTGTAATTCCTTTTAAAAATACATCAATCAAAAAGTACTTAATAACGAACATATTTACTCATATAAGTTTCTGAACAATGAAAACATGTTTTGTACTGCATATATTCAAAAATGGATTATTGAAATGCGTACAAATTAAATTACTTATCGAATTTTTGCTTTAGCTTCTCGTTTTTTCGTTGCAAGGTGTTTGCATGTTTACCCTTTCGTCCGTTCGTTTGTTCATCTGGCAAAGTGCTAAAATAATATAAGAAGTGGTTAAAAGGCTTTCCTTTGTCTCAGTTTTCTCTCTACTGTCATTTATTGTGATACATGATCGCCCTCTTTAATCAAGTTGATTAAATGTAAATGCAATAATGCAATGTAATTCGGAATTATATCATTTTCATAAAGTAATGTTGAATTGGAATATAAACAGTTCATAGAGTGCATACATACTAGTACCTTGCATTCAATACACAAATTAAGGCTTATATTTGCAATCTGGCTGATTTAGGCAAAAGTGTGAACGTTGTATAACGTGTAAGCTACATGCGGTATTTTCAATCAATTAAAACACGTCGATAGTTTTAAATTTGCCACCCGCTTTTCATCATATCTTGGCAAAGTTTTTAGATATAATAGCTTTAAATAACAAAACATCTTTTAAAATAATCTATTACCCATATGTTAAACTTTTTTTTAAAACAAAAACTGTAAATTAAATTGGCTTCGTTCAGTACACCTATATCCACCAACTGTGACAATTACAACAAGTATATGTCGCCATTGGTAAAATGTATCTGTGCACACATTGGTGTCGTATAGCCGCCAAAATCTGATGACAGGGGCTCAAACCTGGATCCATCCGAATATCGTTCAGCAGTTCATCCGGCAAACATATCGGCCGATCAAGTATTTTGTCTTTTTAAATTGATTTGATAAACAATTCTACTTGTGACAGACATATACATATTGACACTGTATTTACTGAGACGCCGGTACAAACAATTCCGACGGGTTGAGAGCACTTTGTAATGCTTATTCTTTTGTTTAAACAGGGAAAGATGGACCTGTCACATATAACTAAAATAACCATTATTTAGATCTGAAGAATTTACATCAATTATAGTCGCCAATTAGAAATCTATTGAAGAGTATCAAAGTAAGTTAAAAGGTATTAAACGTGATTTATCAAGGTATCAGAAAGTGGGCGCACTTATTCCAAACAATGTATTATCATTTACTTTACTACTTTCTACCACTAGTCTTACTCTTTGTCGTTATCACAGCTGCTACCAGGACTAGCCCCAGTGTCCTGTTCAGGTTCTTCCATACTTTGGACTGCAAGTATAAAATCAAACAATCTCCCTACAGCATTGAATCGAAAAAATATTACAATGATTAAAATTTTTGTTAAGCAATTGAAAATATCATTCTAACTGTTAAGTAACTTATTTAATTTATAGCTTACTCATATTATTTTAAGGAAATTTTTGCTCAAATTTAATATTTGAAAATAATGAAAATTGCTAAAGAGTCTTTCTTTTAAAGGCACATTATGTCTCTGAAATCCATATTTATCTAGAAATGTCATACACGTGTTTAATAATGTTTAAAAATTGATTTAGGATATGTTAAACGTTAATTAGCTGATGAAAGTGTCGCTGAATGTGCATTTATGTGTTGTCAAGGTAGAAAAAAGTGAACAATGTAGTATTTTGACTTCCATACAAAATACTAATTCACTGTAATTATACCAATCAAAGCAAACGGGGCAAATATAATTCATCTATATAGCAAAGGAGTATTGTTTTTGGAAACTAACAAGATACAAAAAAAAAGTTTTTGAGAAATAAAAATTATAGCATTTCTGAGGCATCATGGGCCTTTAAACGTACAATCAACATCTTTGTACTACATGGTAAGTTTTAACCTTTACTCACTTATATAGGTAAACACAGTATGAATACATTCTGTCATTAAAAAACTTACAGTTTTTAAAAGAAAAGACCACATGAACTGGCCAGTTATAGGAAATGCAGCCTCAAACATTGTTTGTGCTTTGTTATCCAAATTAGACATATTCAGTAAGGATTTCATTGATTTAATAAATTTCTGCAAAAAAATACATTTACCCAAATATGAGCATAGCATATATTTAATACTACAGTACACATAATGCAAAGAAAACTTGCCAGTTTTCATTGGCTTGCATGCGCTGCAATGTTCTCAATGAACCTCCCATTGAATATTAACAGTTGAAAACAAAATGGTGGACACTAAACTAGTCATATCGTATTTCATAAACATTGAATCTTTATTTTTTAGTGTTTTATCATCCATTAAACGCTACAATAATTGTTTTGATATTATGACGGTTTAAACCTGTTAGAAGGTCACCAAATTTTGTCTAGCGATTTATACACGCCCGACAAAATGTCGCTCCACTTCAAAACTGTGGTGTACGGTAAAACGAGCGAACGGCATTTCCGAGATAGAACGGAAGGCCGATTTTAACGGCTAATTGTAAGTATTGTTCATGTTTTTTTCTTGTTATTCATTAAAGTTGTATGTTTTCGAAAAACGGAAAATGTAGTTCCGTGTAGGATTGATTTAGGCTTCCAATTATCTAAGCTGTTACAAAAACAAAATTATATTAAGCCCGGGAGAACTTTTTTCCCTGACGAAGCGAACGACGATTTGTAGGATATTGAACTTCACAACCATAGAAATGCCATACCTTTCAGATCTCTTGAAAAAGTGTATAAGTAAAATATCAACCCGTAATAAGAACTTGTCCTTCGTGCAACATAAATTACTCCAGAAGGATTTCTTAAATTTGTAAATCGATATTTTTCGAAAGTAGTGGAGCCAAAGGGCAGGAGATGGAGCAAAAAGTTCGATGTTGAGCGCAAGGCGATATCAATTTGACGTATAAGGAGGAGCGTAGTCTATGATTTTTATATATAAAAGCTATAGAAGTTAAAATAGACATGCTCAAGTGTTGAGACCGAGATATATATACTTTTCCTTTTAAAGACATTCAATAAAGTGTGATATCCTTTCAACGACTATAGCGTAATAAATATAATCGCGAAGGTGTCACCTATGGCTGCCGTGTAGATTCCATTATTTATGTTTCAAATTTGGATCAGGCCAGACCATTGAATCATACACATGTATGCATGGCGTAATACAGGATGCCACTTTTTCGAGATCAATCATGATTTTGACACGGTTATATTGATATTTTACTAATACACTTTTTCCAGAAATCTGAAGGGTATGGCGTTTCTATGGTAGGGAAGTTCAATATTCTACAAATCGTCGTTCGCTTCGTCAGGGAGAAAAATTCTCCCGGGCTTAATATAATTTTGTTTTTGTAACAGCTTAGATAATTGGAAGCCTAAATCAATCCTACACGGAACTACATTTTCCGTTTTTCGAAAAAATACAACTTAAATGAATAACAAGATAAAAACATAAACAATACTTACAATTAGCTGTTTAAATCGGCCTTCCGCTCTATCTCGGAAATGCCGTTCGCTCGTTTTACCGTACACCACAATTTTGAAGTGGCGCGACAGTTTGCCAGGCGTGTTATAACTATTTGGGGAAGGGTCCGATTATAAAACTCAGTTTATGAAAATAGCTGAAAACCAGACTGTAACTGTATTACAATTACAAGTAAAAAAAAGAATAATAAACCCCTATAATAATGACAATGTAAATTATTCTAGTTTAGATGTCATAGTAAAGCAGACAAACACAACAAATATAGTGCAAATGAATACTAGATATAGGGTTATTTGAATCAGATTAGAAATATCTATTTACTAAATTTGATTGATAAAGTTCAGACAAACCAATTTCGTCAACTAAATTATCTGCAAGAAGTACGTTCTACATGGAAACGTTATTGTTGATAAATCGTTGACAATATAAAGTTAAAGACGCAAAATATTAAAACTTACGGAAATTGATCACCATTCAACAATAATCTCCTCACTGTCTATTTACTTCCTCTTTCGTTTTCAAATTTTTGTAAACTATTATAGGTTTAACTATTTAAGTTTTATCGGTCGAGGTTTAACACACAAATAGTCAATGTAAATATTTCATTTGGTATTGAAATTTATATTGCCATGCTTTGATAAGGAAATAAATTTAAACTACAAATCTTCTTACAATTTACCATATAAACAATATTATCTGTTAGAGTTAATTTGTTCATGTACAATGAGTCTAATTTTTGAAGAATAAAAAAATGCGTACGGTGGAGTATGTACAGTCATGTTAGAAATGTTAGGTGGACGTGGAATCTTATGAATAGGTACATTATTCCTTTGAAACGAATGAATTGTGTCTTCTTTAGAAAGGGCACACGTGAATGCTATAACATTTAAATAATGTTTTAGAGCATCTGTGATGCTTATCTTACAGGCGGTGCTGAAAGCGTTCTTGTCATAAGATTAGCATAATGTAAATAAGAGAGTATATTTGTCTTCCATTCAGTACAACTGTACTAATTGCTCAAAAGTAACAGAAGCATATTACCGACAGCAATATTAAAACTATTCCTTGGAGAATTACTTCCAATTATAAGAAAACTGGTAAACTTATCACTACAGCAAGGAGTATTTCCAAATAAATGGAAATAAGCTATAGTGAGACCATTTTTGATGACAATTGGACTTAAACTTGTATTCTCAAAATATAGACCTGTGAGTAATATATCGTTTTTATCAAAACTGATTGAAAAAGCAGCTCTGAAAATACAAAATAAACATGCTGATCAGTATGACTTACTACCTACAAACCAATCCGCCTATAGAAAATACCACTCCTGTGAATCTGCTCTACTGCGATTAGTTAATGATCTGTTGGCAGCCATGGAAAAACAAGAAGTTACAGCGCTAATCGCGATTGATCTCACTGCCGCGTTCGACTCTGTGGATCATTATATACTCGTCGACGTGCTACAGAAGCAGTACGGCGTGAGCGATTCAGTGCTCTGTTGGCTTGACTCATACCTTCGTCTCAGCTCCACGGCAACTAGAGTGCAGTGTCCCCCAGGGTAGTTGTTTAGGGCATTGGCTCTACCTGACGTATGCGGGAACCTTGTTTGACGTGATTTCATCTGGATTTTCGGTGTATGGATTCGCTGATGACCATACTGCAACCAAATGTTTTAAACCGTCTGAAGAAAATAGTGAAATGTCTGGAATCGCTGAATTAGAAAATGGTACGATTGATATCAACAACTGGATGAACGTTAATAAACTCAAGATGAACTCATCGAAAACAGAATTCATAACATTTAGAAGTGCTCAACAACTCAAAAAGTGTCACCTAAAATCCATTTGTATTAACGGAGATAAGATAAGATCAACCTTGAGGAGTCCATTAGATTTTTAGGCGCATTTCTAGACCAAACACTAAATTTCATGTCGGAACATGTCAAACGAAAGTGCCGTACTGCAATATTAAACTATCTAAGAATAAAACGTATCCGAAAATACCTCACCAAAGAAGCAACTGAAATACTAGTTATAGCACTCGTAATGTGTATCCGATTTTGAATTGAAAACAATGCAACGTATTCAAAACATGTGCGCTAAGTTACTGCTGCAACGAAAGAATTTTGACAGTTCAAGGCAAGCATTGTTCGACCTTCACTGGTTGCCCATCAAATCTAGAATCGAATTTAAAATTTTGACTTTTGTATACAATTGTTCAATCGGTCATGCTCCAAAATACCTTTCTGAACTCCTAACCAAACAAGTACCAAATACCAGACTATATTCAGCTAAAACCTTTGAGAACTGCTACGTTATTCAATTCAATTAAAGAAAAACATTCAGTGACAGAAGTTTCGGAACTATTGGTCCAAAATTGTGGTATCCGCTGCCATTAGAGTTGAAAAAATCTCAGAATATTGATGTATTTAAGAAAAATCTTAAAACACATTATTTCAGAAAGTTTGAATCACTATTTAAAGATCTGAAATGAGATAAACATGAGTAACATATAACTGATGACTGACAGTGTGATGAATGTGCAATGTAAATAAATGTTTTATTCTTTTTTAATCTATTTGTAATAAAGTTACATGTATGTAAATAATCTTTTCTCATGCTACATGTATATCAATCAGTTTTATCATTTTATGGTCTCTGCAATTTAAAAAAAAATATGTTAATTTGAATTGTATGTAAAAGCTTTTATTTCATTTGATGTTGATCTACATATTCTTATGCATTCACAATTTTATTCTTATTATTTATATGTACTGTACAACGCTGTTGAATATTGTTAAATGGAAACAGGCGTTT